GTTAAGAGGACTGTGCCCTCTAAGCTGGGACTTGTTTGTGGCTTTGCCAACCGGTCAGTCCGAGGCTTAACCCTATAGCTGCTCCCTACATCTCACCCTTCTTTTATTTTTAAGCTACTATAATGAAAGTAAAACTTAAACATTAAGGACAAAGCTCTGACTATTAAAACAATAACAAAACAATGCCAATGCAAAACCCAAACTACAGACATGTTAACATTTTAAAACTTGAACATCAAGAACAAAACTCTGGCTATTAAGACAATAACAAAACAATGCCAATGCAACACAACAATGAGAGAGAAATCAAATTACAGTAACATTTTCCTCCTAAATGAAAGTTTCTTTTGCTGATTTACTTAGAGTCCTTGGACGTGGCTGCGCAAGACTGGCAGCTAACCAATGCTAACATAGCCAGAAACGTGGTTGAGGGAGTAGCTTCCACTTCTTGCTTTACTACCATCTGCTGGGCCTCAGTTGTTAACTTCTTCAGCTGACCCCATGTTGACACCTCGGTCCCTTGCGTAGCCTTTGTCATCTTCCTTTTCCGTATTGCTGTCATCTGGGCAACTCTCAATCTTTTGAACGAAGGGACCAGGAGCTTCTCTGGGTCCATTGTGGTGACACACGTAATGCTCTGGTACCCAAATTGGCTGCACTGCTCCTTCTGGAAAGATACAAAACACAACCTCTTCCCCACATCATTACTAGATTGGGTAAAACTCTTGTCTGGTTTGTGCATCTTTCCACCGGGCTAAGTCAGCAGAGGCTATTGTACAGGAGGCCTGATGTCTTTCAGCTGCTGTACAACTCTCTGCATTGTAATTCAGAAAATTTAACCATAACATTCTTCTCCCCCTTTTTTGTTTTTATAGTTGCATTTTAAGAGTAGGACTGGCACTTTCCCCTATTGCCTGAGTCCTGATTTATCACCCCAGAAAGAGCTTGCCAATTCCGTGCTTCCCGGGGTGGCATGATAAAGGTTTACTGAGCTAGCTGGAAAGGCTGCAGTGGGGTCAAGGATAAGGACCCTACTGTCTGGTGGGACTGGGACTGGGACTGGCCCTGCTTGAAGTTTCCCTGCTTAGAGGCATTGGATTATCATCAACATCAGTCTTGGAGTGGCATTCATTTGCCCAATGCTTTCCTCTCCTGCATCCTGAACATAGTCCACGCTGCTTGTTTCCACTCCCTGTAGCCTGTTGACTTCTATTTCTAGCATTACAGTTTTTAGCAAAACACCACAGTTTGCCACAGTTTCTTTTTCTGTTGACCAGCAAGTAACATCTCCTTTAATGCGGCAGCTAATACTATTCTCCAAACATAGGCTGGTCCAATGTCAGCACAGACACAAATAGAATACTTCCATAATAAGTAGTCCCAAGGTGAGAGACAAGCCTTTGCGACAATATTAAGCCTCTGGTAATGGCCCACAATCTGTCTTAGTTCCCCTGCCACATTCGTCCATTCCCTTTCAGGAGTGGGCTCTAGGGAGTCCTGAATCAGGGACCACAGACTGAAAGTAGAGAGAGGAATTCTCCCTGGACCTTCAGCTATATAATGATCTCTAAGTTGCTTTCCTACCTCCTCCCATGTTTCTACATTTACCTTTCCTTCCTCAGGAAACCATGGGCAGGTTTTACTCACAAACTCCAACAAATCGAAAAGCTGTTGATACCTCACAGAACAGCCCCATGCTTGGAGCATAGCCTTAAGCATGGATACGTATAAATTCTTTTCCTGCGATCCTCCTCTTACTTTCTGCATGTGCTTCACTGGAACATCCTTTCACCTGACAACTGCAGTTCCCCCGAACTCAGGCCCCACATTGGGCGCCACATGTGCTGGGCCAGCTCAGCCTGAGGGGGGCGGCGAAGGATTAAAGAAAAGACAGACAAAGAGAATAAGCTGGGTCTAGGTGGATCTCCTGTGCCTGGCTGAGGCCACAGAGAGGGACCCAGAGGCAAGCTGAGCCTTTATTTTATGGCCAGAGATAAACAAGGTAGTGGTCACCATAGATACAATGTTCTTGTGAGTTTCACTTGTTTTTCCAGCACTTGCTGCACCTCCCACGGCCCATTAGCTACCCAGATAAGATCTAGGGAGCGTCATGAGGTCAAGCTTAATTATGCTAAGAGGGCTCTGCCCTCTAAGCTGGGACTCGTTTGTGGCTTTGCCAACAGGTCAGTCCAAGGCTTAACCCTATAGCTGCTCCCTACAGTATACGAGGCCTTTCTAGCTGTCCAGGGGGCAGTCGCCTAAGTGGGCAGAGAAGGGTACCCATCGGACTTTGGTCCCAGCGATGAAGGAAAGTGGGAGCCGATACTCTTGCTGAGAGACAGTTGGCAGCTATGTGTGCTGCCTTGCAGGCCTGTGTGATCAGCCCGTGTCGGGAGCAGCACAAACCCCACCTTTAGCAAAGTGGGGGCCTATCTGGAACAGAGGGCAGAGATGAATACCAGGCCCCTGTCATAAGAGTTACAGACCCCATGCTGGGACCTGTGATTATAAGACCATGTCAGAGGGTGAAACTCCCAGGGAGGAGGTACTTCCCAGTCCATTCCTAGAGGGTACGCCACCCCTCCCAGAGACCGTGTGGTACTCAGGACGGGTCTAGGAGGAGAACCCGGCTACATGGACTGCCATGGCTTTCCGTTTGGATACAGAAGAACTGTGGATCGATTCTGGTACTGGGCAAATGGCCAATGGGCTAAATTGCAAGCAGTCTGGATGGTTTGGACACAGAAGCCTGGCCCTGTGGCCATTGGAACAGACAGCGGGGCTGTCTTTAAGGGCTTCACTTTGTGGTTGCGGCAGTGGCACAAGCAGCAGTGGCTGATAGGACTTCATCCCATGTGGGGACAGGATATGGGGAAGGAGATATGGGAAGCAGGGACTTCCAAAGAGGCAGCAATACATGATTGAGTGGCCTCGACCGCTGCTCACCCCGGGAACGATGAGGCAGAGCCTCGGCAAAAGTCTGGAAGGTAGCACCTTTCCCCGAGGGTGGGGCTTGGTGGCTCCATCGGAAATTGGGGCCCATGAGACCACGGACAATGATGCAGGTGGCTAAGCCTTGGGGCCTGGCCCTATCCTGGGGGAAGCCCTCACTGCAGTATGAGGATGTCCCCGCTGTGCTCGGGCACACCCCCATCGATGCGGCCTCCAAGGGAAGGAGGGCCAAGTCCTCAGAGGGGTCCCCTGCAGCATTGGCAGGTGGGCTTCACTGGACCTCTCCCTCTGGACGGGTTTTAAGTATGACCTGAGGGCCAGCCTCCTCTTTGCTTACCCTATGAGGGAGGCCACCCAATGGACAGCTGTCCGAGGATTGGAACACTTGGGGGCCACCTACGGGTGACCCCTTAGCATAGCAAATGGTAATGAAACCCATTTCACAGGGAAAGAGGTACAGAGCTGGGCCAAGGCCAGGACTTAGCTCGATAATTTCACGTTCCAGATCATCCCCAAGCTGATGGGATGATTGAATGGTATAACATAACGGCCTGTTGGAAGACAAGCTCCACCCAGGGGTGGCCCACCCAGCCTAAAGGTTGGGCTGGAGATTGGATACGGCCCTCAGATTGCTGAATGAGCAGCCCAGGAGGACGGGCACCTCCCCCTTAGAGTTAATGATGTGGAGGTCTCCTCAGGCGCTGCACGTGCAGGTGAAAACAACAGATGAACGGCTGCACCCCAAAGTACGCTCATCTGGAACTTGGTTCCTGCCCACACCTGCCCAACTGTGCAAGTCCAAGCTGGAAAACACGGGAAACTTTGTTAAAGGGAACGTACGCTATTGCCCTCTGGCCAGTGCCCAGGTTTCCCATAGCTTCCCCTGTGACACCCCCATGCAGGGGGAGATCCCATGTGGTGTCACCGCCAGGTCACCCTCCGATTCCAGCCACAGTGCTGCTAGAGACGACACAGTTCCTGGCATCTTGCTGGAAGGCCATGATCTCCCTATGATGGTCTCAGTCTCTCTTTTGTCTCTTCGACCAGAGTGAGCTTGGCTAACAGCGTAGTGTCGTGAGCGCACACCTATGCTCGAGTGCATACTGTCTCCCATTGTTGTGTGTTGGGTGTGCACAGAGATTCCCCCAGGAGTGGCTGGCGGATTCCCATGGCGCATCCATCCGGCCGCCGCTGCCAATTGGACATGGTTAGCTGCTCAAGACTTTGGCAATGCCTCCTGGGACCCTGCACGCTGAGCCATTGAGACTCTGATCCAGCGGAATCATGGCAATACCGGCCCTTTATTGGCTATGCAGTTTGGAATGGATGGGGGTGGTTGTTAGGGGAACAAGTAGAATTAAGAGAACCTGCAGACGTGTGTGTGGAGCAGCAGCGACCCTGTAAGAATCGCATTGTTGGCTGGCTGCCTCCAGAGTTGTGCTATGACATAACCACTAATGTTGAGGTCCAGAAGCAGTGGAATAGAAAGCGTTATACCAGCACAAAACCTGTAGATATGATGGTCCCAGGACACTTATGGGTGTGTGGAAGGTATGGCTGGCCCTACCTCCCAGCGCATTGGGTGGGACGATGTACCTGGGGTTGGCCCTATATCCCCAGGTGAATCCTTAAGACTTTAGAAGAGATTCCCCATGATTGGGACTCAGTATACCACCGGTGGCATCGAGTTAAATGGACTCCCTGGTGGTTTTACCCATTAGCTGTAATCCTTCCTGCAGGAGGAGCAATTAAGATAGAATTAGAGCCGAAACTGGTTTGGCTCAGTGGATAGAGCATCAGCCTGTGGACTGAAAGGTCCCAGGTTCGATTCCGGGCAAGGGCATGTACCTGGGATGCGGGCACATCCCCAGTAGGAGATGTGCAGGAGGCAGCTGATCGATGTTTCTCTCTCATCGATGTTTCTAACTCTCTATCTCTCTCCCTTCCTCTCTGTAAAAAATCAATAAAATATATTTTTTTTAAAAAAGATAGAATTAGAAGTGACAGCCTTAGCCTGTTGCAGAAGACCAAAGAAATACCAAGCACGCTTCTTAGAGAAAGGGAGGGACCCTGTTTATTAACACTAATGGACTCCAGGAATAATTTCCAAATCAGAATGAAGCAACATGCAGAGGGCTTAACTTTTTATAACCTTCTGGGGTCTTTGTCTTGCAGATATGGTTCCGCCCCCTTTTGTGGGCTTACAGGAAGGCCCCCAGGTGTTGGGGGTCCCCAGGCCATATCCGATGATCTGTCCCGGGGCCGGTGATAACAACCCTCCCCTCCGCCCCAGGGCAGTGCATTGTTCACAGTTGTTATGACCTGACACGCCTTGTAAGACCAGTTTCCTCCTCATCCCCTCCCCCCCCACCACCCCTTGTTCCACAAACTTCTTTTTGCCTTGTGGAGCAACGACCATGGGATGTTATGGTGAACAGGGGTGATGACCGCTCTTAGCTACTTCCTGCTGGAAAGGGACGATGAGCAAGGGTTTAGCATACCGCTTCTTCCTCTCAGAGGGGTTTGTAGGGAGTTCTGGTTTCAGCAGGCAGGCAGAGGTAAGCAGTGGTCCCACACGCATAGAATGTTCCTGCAGGGGGTACCAGGGGTAGGTGGTGTTTTCAGCCTTGGGGGTAGAGTTGCATAGTTCATCTGGGAGATGACCTGTTGGATGTTGGCCCTGCATACTGCTGAAACAAATAGGAGCAACATTAGTTAGCTGCAAATTGGCTGTGACAGGTCCTATACAATACAATTCCCCTTCTCCCCCCATGTGCATTTGGTAGTAGAGTAGTAACATGCCACAGGCTGATAAGTATAGCTAACAAAAATCTGGCTTGATTGGGTTTTCTCGTGGACTACCTGGTCTAGCATATTTGGGTAGCGAGTTTCTAAGCAAGGAGCAAAGGATGGCATGACAAGGTGTAATCCAACAATTTATGATAAGGCCTTTGTTTCCTTGCTGTATGAGGAGCAGTAATTTTATGGTGCTTCTGTGTCCCAGCAAGAGCAGATGAGTTCTTCTCCTGGTGCTAGTCTCAGATTCCGCTGGCACTCATAAAAAGACAAAATAAGAATTATTAGATAAAACCAGTGATTATCCAAAAATACTAGAGCATGTTATGTTAGGAAGAAATAAGAAAGAAAGATTAGTGTTAGGGAGAATTCAGCAGGGTGTTATCTGAATTCCTTGGAGCAGGTTGCTTGGCCAGGTCTGCTGTTTTCTTGAGGGTGATCCACAGCGGGTGTTTCTGGTCAGAGGTCACCTTCTACTCAGACTGGATATCACTCAGCTGGTGGGCTGCCTTCACCCAGGAGTGGTGGATCCAGGTGTTTAGTCCTGCAACCTTAAGAGCTGTGGGGGTGGTTAATATGACTGGATAGGGTCCCTTCCAGGTAGGCTTGAGGGGCTCCTTTTTCCAATCCTTTACCCAAACCTGGTCTCCAGGTTTATAAGGATGTACAGCTGTTCTAGAGAGATGGGTAGTCGGTCATTAACCCACCTGTGGACCTCAAAGACAGTTTTTCCAAGTCCTTGTAGTTGTTTCTGGATTTCTAAGTTCCCTACAGTGGGGCCTTGACTTACGAGTTTAATTCATTCCGTGACGGAGCTCGTAACTCAAATTACTCGTATGTCAAATCATAAAGTGAACGAGTGAGACACGTGATGCTGGGCTGATGTTGTGGCATTCACTGTGACGTTCGCTGTGCCAACTAGCAGTGGGGTATCTGAAGCTGGCTCGTAACCCGAATTTTAGCTCACGACTCAAAGCAAAAAATCGGCCGAGAGACGGCTCGTATCTCAAAAAACTCGTTAGTCAGGACACTCGTAAGTCAAGGCCCCACTGTATTTCCCCCAAATCTCCCTTTGGCCGAATTAAGGGAGGGGGTCTACCGTATAGAATTTCAAAGGGAGAGAAACCTACCCTGGCCCTCGGGGCACAGCGTACCCGCAGGAGTACAAGAGGCAAGATATCTGTCCAGGGTAAGGTTGTCTCCTGGCATAGCTTAGCCATAGTCTCCTTTAGAGTCTGGTTCATGTGCTCCACTTTCCCTGAACTCTGAGGACTATAAGCTGTATGTAGATTCCATTTAATTCCTAAAGCCTTGGCTACCTATTGTACTAGTTCTGCTACAAAGGCTGCGTCATTATTACACCCTATGGTCAGAGGCATTCCATACCGTGGAATTATATCCTTCAGCAATGCCTTAGTGACTTCTCTCGCCTTTTCCGTGCGAGTGGGATATACCTCGACCCAACCTGAAAAGGTGCAAACAAAGACTAGCAGGTATTTATTCCCTCTGCTAGGCCCTATTTCTGTAAAATCTACTTCTAAGTCCTCAAAAGGAGCTTGCCCACAGCGCTGAACTCCTATTGGTCCCACAGGACCCTGTTTAGCATTGTTCTGAGCACAGAGGAGGCAACACTGAGAGACTGAGGCACACAAGGAGGGTAGATGGGCAATTAGGTAGTACCTGCCTAACAAAGCTTCTAGGGCAGCCTTTCCTAAATGAGTGAGTTCATGCTGCTGGAGGACTACCTTATGGGCTAACTGTTCTGGTACATAGACCCTATGATCTGGGAGTATCCACCAGCCTTCCTTTGTTCTCTTGCCCCCTTCTTTCTGGGCCCATTTCTCTTCCTGAGGAGTGTATTTCGGAAGTTCAGGTAATTCAGGGCCAACATGATCCGTGATGGTGCCACTTGTTCTTTAGCAGCCAGCTTGGCTGCAGTGTCAGCACACTGGTTTCCTTCTGACACTGAGTCTTTCCCCTTCTGGTGACCTTTGCAATGGATGACGGCTATTTCCTTAGGCTCCCAGACTGCTTCTAGTAACTTTAAAATCTCATTCTGATTTTTGATTCCTTTTCCTCCTGCTGTCAAGAGCCCCCTTTCCTTATATATGGCCCCATGAACATGCAGGGTAACAAAGGCATAGTGCGAGTCAGTGTAGATGTTGGCGCGCTTATTCTTCCTGAGTTCTAGGGCTCTTACTAGGGCCCAAAGTTCTGCCCTCTGCACTGACCATCCTTCAGGCAGGGTCTGTGCTTCAATTGTCTCAAAGTTTGATACCACTGCATATCTGGCTCATCTTTTTCCTTCATCTAAGAAGCTGCTGCCATCTGTGAACAATACCAAGTCCGAGTTTTGCAGGGGCCTATCCGTTAGATCTGGCCGGCTGGAATAAACCTCCTCTAGGACTTCCAGGCAATCATGCTCAGGGGCCCCCTCAGCAACGGGTAGAAAGGTGGCAGGATTAAGAGTTCTCACTGCTTCTAATCATACCCGCAGATTCTCACATAACAGCCCTTGATACTGAGTCATTCGAGCATGAGTCAGCAGAACTCCTAGGGCTACCCCGCTGTTCTCGTGAACAAAAAGATTAAAGTCTCGCGTCACATCTGGTAGCCCTAGTGCCGGGGCCTCAGTGAGCTTTGCCTTTATGGTGATGAAGGCTTTCTCCTGTTCAGGACCCCAGTCAATGGGTGCCTTCTCTTCTCCTCTTAAAGCTTCATGGAGAGGCTTGGCCAGGTCTGAAAACCCTGAGATCCAAATTTGACAGAATCCTGCCGCTCCCAGGAATTCCCGAATCTGCCGCTGGGTGCTAGGGACTGGGATGGCACATACTGCCTGCTTCCTTTCAGTCCCTAGCCTTCGTTTCCCATGGGTGATCCGAAGCCTAGATACTTGACTTCTTTCTGACAAATCTGTGCCTTTTTCTTAGACACCCGATAACCTGTTTCAGTTAGTAGTCTCAGAAGGGCTCGTGTCCCCTCCCAGCACTGAGCTCCTGTGGAGCTGGCCAGCAGGAGGTCGTCTACATACTGGAGTAGAACACACCCCAAGTCCTGTCCTGGGAACTTAGATCAGATGCTAGTGCTCCACTGAAAAGAGTAGGGGAGTTCTTGAACCCTTGTGGCAGTCTGGTCCAGGTGAACTGCTCCTTGGCCCCTGTAGTTGGGTTTTCTCATTGGAAAGCGAAGAGAGGCTGACTGGAAGGCACTAATCGAAGACAGAAAAAGGCATCTTTCAGATCTAGGCATGTAAACCATTCCGCCTCTGATGGGATGAGTCCCAGAAGAGTGTAGGGGTTCGGCAGTGCTGAATGCAGGGTTATAACAGCCTCATTAACAGCCCGTAGAACAGGGGTGGGCAAACTTTTTGACTCGAGGGCCACAATGGGTTCTTAAACTGGACCGGAGGGCCGGAACAAAAGCATGGATGGAGTGTTTGTGTGAACTAATATAAATTCAAAGTAAACATCATTACATAAGAGGGTACGGTCTTTTTTTTTTTTAGTTTTATTCATTTCAAACGGGCCGGATCCGGCCCTCGGGCCGTAGTTTGCCCATGGCTGCCGTAGACCCTGCACCGGGCGGTAGTCTTTAGTCCCAGGCTTTTTGACAATCAAGAGAGGCCTATTCCATGCAGACCTGCATCGTTTAACAAGTCCCCACTGAAGCAGCCGGTCTAAGTGAACCTGGATTCCTAGGTGTGCTTCCCTTGGAATTGAATATTGGTGGATTTTAACAGGCTGTGCCCCAGGCTTTAACTCGATTAGCACCGGGATGTGGTCCTTAGCCAGGCCTGGAGGATTCCCTTCTGCCCAGACCAGCGGGAATTCCTTCTCTAATTCAGGTTCTAATGGTGAGGCCTTTGTCTGGGGGTATAAAGTCTCCATTCTTCCTCCCTCAGCACTGCTAAGGACAGGATCATTGGGGAGGTCTCCTCACCTAGGCGAAGCTGTGCTGAGCCATCTGGAGCAAAAGTGATTTCTGCCCCCATTTTGGCTAAAAGGCCTCTACCCATTAGAGGCACTGGACAGTCTGGCAAGTACAGGAATTCATGAATTACTTGATGACCACCAAGTTGGCATCGGCGAGGGCAGCAGAATGGTATACGGGTCTGGTCCCCAGTAGCTCCTATAATGGTGACCTCCTTTCCTGAGAGAGGCGCTACTTTCTGAGTGACTACTGAGTGCTCAGCTCCCGTATCAACCATAAAATCCACAGTCTGGCCCCCAATTTTCATTCTGACCATGGGCTCATGGGGGCCTAGCTGAAGTGAGCCCGGTCTGTCCTAGTCGGAATCAGCCATTGCTAGCCCAATGAGACCTGCTTCAGGTGGCTCTGGTTGATAGCAACTGGGCAGAAAAGGGGGCCCAGTTTTCTTACTTTGCCGTTTGGGACATTCATTCTTCCAGTGTCTTGTTTCCTTACAACAGGCACACTGGTCTCATCTCAGGCTCACTCTTCCTTTTCCCCCTGGTCTGTATCCTTGCTGATCTGCCTGGGAGCCTGAGCCTCTAAAAGCCGCTGCTATTATATTGGCCCTTCTCCGTATTCTCTTTTCTTCCTCCTTCCTTGCTGCACTGTCTCGGTTGATGAAAACCTTGTTGGCTATCTCCAGCAGTTCAGTAGCATTCTTTCCTGTAAACCCTTCCAGTTTCTGTAATTTTCTCCTGATGTCAGGCTGGGCTTGGCCTACAAAAGCGGCATTTACCGTGGTTTGATTTTCTGGGGCCTCGGGTCTAAAGGGGGTGTAGATCCGGTATGCCTCACACAGTCTCTCATGGAAAGCTGCTGGACTTTCGTCAGGCTTCTTTAAAACCTCAGAGACTTTAGCCATGTTGGGGGGCTTCTTGTTGGTGACCCCCTGGAGGAAGGCCAGCTGATACCTTTCTAACCTGGTCTTTCCATCTTCTGAGTTCGGGTTCCAATCGAGTTCCTCATCTGGGAAGGCCTTCCTGGCCCATCTGTCTGTATCTAATATTCCTGCTGGGGCCTGAGTCTGGAGCCACTTCCGAGCCTGTGTTACTACTCTCATGTGCTCTTTAGTGTTAAAGAACGTGAAAAGGAGCTGCTTGCAGTCCACCCAGGGGGGCCTCTGGGTCTGGAAGATCGTTTCTAGGAGGTCTACCATGGCCTGGGGTTTTTCAGAATAAGCTGTGGTGTGATGTTTCCAGTTCAGAATGTCACTGGTGGTAAAGGGCTGATAATAACAGACTGGCCCTCCCTCCTGCAAGGTCCCATCTTCGCCAACTACTTTGGCACCACGGATCTCCCTGAGAGGCATCTGACCTGCTGGTTGTGGCCTAGGCCCTTGATTGGCTGAACGCAAGCACCGCCCAACTGGCTCTGGAGAGCCCAGTTGAGGAGAAACGGAAGGGGGCGGTGTTTCTGGACTTTTCAGACCAGCTGGGAAGCACTTGGTGCTGCCTGTGGCACATATGGAGATGGTAAAACTAGCGGGAGTTCCTCAGGGGGTCCTGGCAGAACAAGGGGTTGGGTTCCCTTCTGAGAGACCTGTTTCTCTTCTACTACTAAAACCTTACTGAACCAGACCCAAGGCGGCAAGGTTTGAGCAATTCCTAACCAGCTGTCTATGTAAGGGAACTGTGTTAGGTTGAAATTTTGGGTGTCCGGGGTCTGTCATGACTACATTCCAGACCACCCTGACCAGTCCTACATCTAAAGAGCCTTCCTGGGGCCAGCTGACCCCAAAAGCTGGCCATTCTAATTCACAGAATTTCCTCAGTGTTTGGGGTTCATTTTAATACCATAGTCCTCAATAAAACCCTTTTCAAAATTTTCCAACATGCAGTTGAGAACAGTGGGTTTACTTTGTCCCAACCCCATGATGATCGGTGGTGAGAGACAGACAAGGGTGCAGGGAAATTTACTAAAAGCCTGGAGGGTCTCCTTAAAGAAAAGATCCTTAATCAGCACAGGCAGGGGCAGGGTGGGTAAAATCTCTCCTCCCTGCAGAGCCCCTGAAAGTCCCAGCCAGCCAAAAGAGACAAGAAAAGCCGCAAATACCTTTAAATCTACCCCAGAATTCCAAAATTTCAACCTAACACAGCAAAATCACAGAGCAAATCAAAGCCCCTACTACACAAATGTGGACAGAAATTTTAATCAACTATCCCTTCGTGATAGAGAGCAAACGTCTCTGAGAAAACTAACTCAACAGCGTTGCTTGAGACTTTTGCAGACCATCACGGGTTCAGCCTTCAGTAAATCAAACGTTTTAACCAGATGAGCAAACAGAAAATCAAAGTAGCTTTCACTTTCACACAGACCAGTTAATCAGCAGATAATTATGCCAAGACAGACAAACATCCGTACTCACACTCTCTCAGACTAACCCAGACTGGAGCTGAGCAGATAATGCCCAACTCCCCAGATGGGCATTGGGGCATTCCCGGCACCCACGCCCCAGAACAGAATTCTCGACCGACGTCTCAGTGAGAACCTACCAGAGGAGTTAAGGCTGCATCCAGCCCCCTTCTTGGTAGCAAATTGGCTAGTCCCACACACAAACAAACAGAAGAGTGAACCCATAATTCCTTAATCGAATCTGAATTCACTCACCTCCGGAGTACTGATTCCTGATTTACCTGATGAAGTCCTATGACTTCCGGGAGGTGATCAAGCTCCCCCTTCCACTCACTGGGAGTGGGCCTGACTGACTGGGGCTCCTACCTTACTGATTCTGTCCACAGGTCCAGAGGTGTCCGTCCACTTAGCAGCGCACGCCTTCTGTAGGCCTGTCCCGTGCCCCCGGGCCCCAAACTCCATCCACTCACCGGAGGCAAGAGCCAAACGCTGTTAGCTTCTTGGTCAGGGAACCAAATGTTGCAGAAGACCAAAGAAATACCAAGCACGCTTCCTAAAGAAAGGGAGGGACCCCGTTTATTAACACTAGTGGACTCGGGGAATAATTTCCAAATCAGAGTGAGTAACACGCAGAAGGCTTCACATTTTATAAACTTCTGGGGTCTTTGTCTTGCAGATATGGTTCCGCCTCCTTTTGTGGGCTTACAGGAAGGCCCCCAGGTGTTGGGGGTCCCCAGGCCAATATCTGATGATCTGTCCTGGG